TTTTTTTTTTTTTTTTTTTTTTTGATCCAAATCATTTCCGTTTCCTTGTAATCTCTGTGGTTTGGGGTTTGTGATCTATATGTTGTAAATCTCTTTGCTCATAAGAGTTAGATGATTGATTCTTCTGTGTTGTATTGGTAGTAGATGAGTGTTAATGATTATAAAGAGTTTAGATTTGCTTCATTACGATCGAAATTTTGGGTCTTTTGGTTTTCTGAGATTAGCAGTTCTTCACCAGAACTAAGGATTCTGGGTTTAATGAAAAGTCCTAGACTTTGAATACATGCAAGACTGTACTTCAGATTCAGTTGTTTTAATGCGGGAAAGATCTTGCTTTGTTCAGAGACGGTTTGATCTTTACTTGTATAGAGTGTCCTTAATTGATTTCTTCTTTGTTGTATTGTAAAATGCAGATGCCGCTTGCTCTACTCAGCTTATCGATGGAGATGGTACCTTTAATGTTGATGGGGTTGATAACTTTATCAAGGAGGTTAAGTTGGAAGAATGTGGTCTTTCATATGCGGTTGTCTCCATTATGGGTCCTCAAAGTAGTGGTATGTTTCAACATCCTTTGAATCCAAAAGCTTTTGCTTCTTTTCGATTCATGATTTTGACATTATGGTTGAATTTGCAGGGAAGAGTACGCTCTTGAATCATTTGTTTGGAACGAACTTTAGAGAAATGGATGCATTTAGAGGAAGGTATGTCCTGCTCTTTGGATACTTTGTGGGAAGAATACTTAGCTTCTAATTTAAGATATTTCAACCCTTGAATTTCCTTGTTTTCAGGTCCCAGACGACTAAGGGAATCTGGATTGCTAGATGCGCTGGTATTGAGCCTTGCACTGTTGTGATGGATTTGGAGGGTACCGATGGGAGAGAACGTGGAGAGGTGTGTAACTACGGTCCTTGTCATATTTGGTTCTTATTCTATTTTGTATCATACGCTAGTTAGTATATTCTTATTTTGAGCTCTTGCACTTATTTTAAGTGCTTTGATGAAGCTTGACTTGTTTTGATTAGACTCTTAAAGTGGTTAATGCGATGTGTTAATCTTAATAAGCGCACACAAAGAAATTTCGTTCTTAAAAAGAATGTATGAGTGCAGAATGGCTTACTTACGTACAGTGTCTTTTTATTTGACTGATAGGATGATACTGCTTTCGAGAAACAGAGTGCTCTTTTTGCACTTGCTGTCTCAGACATAGTTCTCATTAACATGTAAGTTGTTTTCTGTACTCTACTTCTTTCTTCGATAGATAGCAGGACATTCATTTTCTGTCTTTATCTTATAACATACTGGTTCTTGTATGTATAATGCAGGTGGTGTCATGATATTGGTCGTGAGCAAGCAGCAAATAAACCTCTTTTGAAGACTGTGTTCCAGGTATGTGGTCTGCTTCTTCTTATCAGGATGATTTATCGCTGATCGGAAGTTCAATATTCTCTGCTTTTCCTGGTACATGCGTTCAGGTTATGATGAGGTTGTTTAGTCCGCGGAAAACTACTTTGATGTTTGTCATAAGAGATAAAACACGGGTATGTATTTGTGTTTCTCCATTTAGTAAGTGGTAACTTGCTTTTTGTCTGTTTCATTTCGTCATCATTCTGCTTTTTGAATTATAAGTTGTGGATGAATATTTGCAGACACCATTGGAAAATTTAGAACCGGTGCTAAGGGAAGACATTCAAAAGGTAAAAAAGAGACTATCTGTAGTTTTTTTTTTGATCTTTGACTATGCAATTCCTTATATCTTGTCCTTAATTGCAGATTTGGGATGCAGTCCCCAAACCTCAAGCACACAAAGAAACTCCACTTAGTGATTTCTTCAATGTACGTCTGCTTGGCCGTTTTTATAAGAACTTAGTATCACTCTTCTTTTGCTAGGATCAAGAAATGGAACTGTTTCTTGTTTTACAGGTTGAAGTAATTGCTCTCAATAGTTTTGAAGAAAAGGAAGAGCTATTCAAAGAGCAGGTTCATTCAAAATTAGCTTTACATTTAGGATAAACTTCAGGGTTACCTTAGTGATTTACTCAACTGATGGCTTTGTATGTGATATTAACGCCTTTCCTATATATTTTTGGTAAATGAAAGGTTGCTAATTTGAGACAACGGTTCTTCCACTCTGTTGCACCTGGCGGACTTGCTGGTGATCGACGAGGAGTTGTCCCTGCTAATGCGTTTGCTTTTAGCGCAAAACAGATGTGGCAAGTCATCAAAGACAACAAAGACTTGGACCTTCCAGCACACAAGGTAACTATTTTTCTTGCTAAAGGCTCTCTGCCTATCACCCGTCATTGTTCCTTCTAGTCTTGTTATTTATATGATGTCTATATGCGCAGGTCATGGTAGCAACTGTGCGATGCGAGGAAATTGCCAATGAAAAGTTTGCTGGTTTTATTGCGAATGAGGTGGATTTTCTTAAAACTGCTTCACGTTTTATCCTTTTCAGTGACTTCTTCGCTAATATTCGTGTCTAAACATTGTATAGAATTGGCGTGAACTGGAAGAAGCTGTACAATCTGGTCCTGTTTCCGGATTTGGAAAAAAGCTGAGCTCAATCCTCCAGTCTTGCTTATCAGAGTAAGAATTTCGTGCTGAAGTGTTCTTTACAGTTTTTTCTTGTGTGACGACTTTGTTGAATCATAGTCTTATGCGTATATTAGATTCTAGAACGGTACGAGTTTCCTTTTCATGTGTGTCCTGATGTTTGTCATAGGTATGACACAGAAGCGACATACTTTGAAGAAGGTGTAAGATCATCCAAGAGACAACAGCTGCAAGAAAAGTTATTGCAAGTAAGTAATGCATATACACTCTTAACTTGTGACTGTTATTCTCGTGTTTTGTTGCGTTGAGAGACTTAACATGTTTAAAAAAAAAATAGATGTTAGTATTATGCGCTCATTTTCTTATTGCCCTATGCAGCTTGTTCAACCAACTTTCCAAGACTTGCTTGGGCATCTGAGATCTGGAGCCCTTGAAAGTTTCAAGGATGCTTTTGAGAAGGCCTTAAATGCTGGTGAAGCCTTTTCATCATCAGCGGACTTATGCGCCCAGTCTTGCGTGTCTAAGTTTGATAAAGGATGTGAAGGTATAGCTTATTGTTGATGTCACTTCTGTAATTATTGTGATGTATAGGATAGCATATTGGAACTTGAAGATTTTCATACGAAAGGAGCATTAAAAGATATCCAATATTAACTGAAGAACTGTTTTGTTGCAGAGGCTGTTATTGAACAAGCAAAATGGGATACATCCAAAACTCGGGAAAAGCTTCAGCGTGACATTGAAGCACACATCTCTTCTGTCCGTACTGCAAAGTTGTCGGAACTGACCACTCTGTATGAGGTAAATAGAATTCTTAAGCAGAATAAAGCTTATCAAGAACCAAACAGGTGTCAACTGCTATCTGGACCTTTCTAATATATAATCGTCAATGCAGTCAAAGCTAAATGTAGCATTATCTGGACCGGTGGAAGCTCTCTTGGATGGAGCTAACGATGAAACATGGCCTGCAATAAGAAAGCTACTAAAACGTGAATCAGAATTGGCTGTCTATGGTCTCTCCGACGCATTATTTGGATTCGACTTGGACGAAGAAACACGGAATAAAATGCTCACCAACCTTGAGAACTACGCACGTGGTATTGTTGAAACCAAGACAAAGGAAGAGGCTGGAAGAGCGCTGATGCGCATGAAGGATAGGTGACACCATTATATTACTTTGTCATTATCAATAAGCTATCTTGTACATACCTTTCTGATTAAACAAATTTCTCTTCAGATTTACGACAATATTCAGCCATGATTCTGATTCAATGCCACGTATTTGGACTGGAAAGGAGGATATCAGAGCAATCACCAAAATGGCTCGTTCTGCGGTATGTATTCTACCTTATATATAGCACCAATTCTCTGACTCGATCCAAAGTTTCTCTAGATTTTGATGTGACAACCTTGTTATCTGTTTTTATAGTCCTTGAAGCTGCTGGCTGTTATGGCTGTTATCCGCTTGGAAGGTGAGCTCGACAATATTGAGAAGACACTGACTCTCGCTCTGGTTAGTCCTACTAGTAACAATGCTACCAGCAAGACCATCAGCACAAGTGATTCACT